CGCTTGGCCAGCACGGCAAGAGAGCGGGAAGATCAACTATACAAACCGGGACGCGTGTTGGACAGCAAATTCCCAGGGCCGGGTTTAGGGGAGCAGGAAGAGGCATTTCCTTGTGTTTTCCTGAAAAGAGCTCTTCTGGGCTAACATTATCTGTGAGAGACCAAAGGGGACGGAGACCCCAGCTGCAAGAACAGGTAATTTCATACCCCAAAGGGTCACGTACGAACACGCTGCCTCCTGCGGGCAGGCGGCTGGAGGAGTGCCGGGGCGGGAACCGCCGAAGCGCCGGGAGCCTGCCGTCCAGCACTGCTTCAGGCTGCTGCCTGCTCGTGTCTGCACCGCGCACGCAGGCCCTTTTAAGCTCATAACACTGGAAAGCGAACCCCAGGGCCCGGCCACAGGCGAAGTTCCAGCTCGAGGCCCAGAAACAGCCACAGAGGCTGTACTCAGGCTCGAGGGCAGAGGCGGCGCAGCGGGAACAGCGTCGTCCTGCTTCCGCGTCCAGCCCGGCCGGCAGGGAGCCGGCTTGCGTCACGCGCACGCCTGGAATGGGCGAGCGCTGCCTGGACCAGCCCTGAACTCGCAGACAGGTGCCTGGATGGTGGTTCCCATTTGGCGTGCTTGCTGTCCTACGTTCATGGAGATTTTCCCTCAGAAACAACCTCAGGAATGAAGCGCTGCCCACTTGCAGTTTGCTACCCTGCCACTGAGAAAACGCCCTGTTTTCAAAGAGTCAGGGATGAGAAATCAGGACGGTTGGGGGGTCACAGGTCGTACCTGCATTCTGCTGGCAACGGCCAACCCATGCTGCTTATGGCCGAATCTGGAGGAAGGTTTGCATGCTAAACTCCTGATTTTGGCTCCAAGTCCAGCCTTGCAGTACCACTGAGACCTTCGGGTGAAATGGGATGTGCTTCAAATCGGGCAGGGGAAGCAGGAGAGGCAGATCTGGCACGCCACGCCAGGGGCGGATCCACTGCCCAGAGTCAGACCCACAGCGCTGCTGGGTGCGTCCCAGGGCCGGTCCCGCTCCACAGCTCCCCATCAGCTTCCTGGCTTCCACAAATCACATCCGCTGCTCCCCACCGCTGGGGAGGCCAGCCTGAAGCTAGAGGACAACACTAGGGATCAGAAAACCTGACGGTCAGATTCAGCAACTCTGATGTTGCCTTGTGGACGTAGCCCTTACAAACAATACATGGATTTTGGTGCACCTCCTAAACAAGGGAGGCAAAATCCCAGCCCCAAGCAATGAAGAGTAGAGGTACTAAACTCCGTGGGATGTATACATGGATCTATGTGTGTCTGTATGCACGAGAGTAAAAGATTAGGAGGAAAAATCCCCTATGCTTTACATTGTTCAGGTATAAATGGCAAATATAAGATTTCAATCCATTCCTGCAGCTGGATATACAAGGGGGTGCATGTGGAAATGTAGGATTATTCAAGGTCTCCTACTGAAAAATCTGTCCCTTCATTAAGCAAATGAATTAGCTGCTCCAGTAATTAAAATCTGCCTACAGGACATATAGTTCTCCAAAATATCAAACGTAGCTTAACTCTGTGGGAGAGCCCTATGCTGTGCCTGCAGACTACGGTGGGGAAGGGAAGAAGTGAATTCCCATACCTGTATGATTGCGTGCCAACCTAGCACACCCTCCCTTTGGCGTGCAGCTCCCGGCAATGTCATTAAGTACAGTACACTTTGCAACAACATACGGATGTGCTGAGCTGCTTCAGAACAGTTTTAGGTATAACAGAGAACCCACATCTATCAGACCGTACCTGATACTTCACAGGGAGACTAAAAAAGGGCTATTGGATTTAAATGCTTCATTAAAATGGCACCTCAGTTCTGTAGTTTAATAAGAGGCTTTTCATTTGGTCTTCCTTCATTGAATATGCTTACATAAACCTTGAGAAGCCTTGGGGATGAAAATATCATTAGCCACAGTTCTAGACTTGGACACTTTTCAAGGTGCAGGCCGAAGGCACCGTACTAAACAGAACTTTATTTTCACTTAACTAGTCATTGTGGATATTATTTATCTCACAGTATATAGAAAAACAAAGGTCTGTCACCATTAGAAATATCTAAACTTAGCAGGTGTATTTATGGCTTCTGGCTTCTATTAAGTCTTCAGTATAAATAGGCTTTCTGGTCTTTTTGTGTGACTTTGATAGGACACTAGAATTAGATTTCCTGAATTCCACTAAATGCAAAGTAACATGTCACCAACTACAACTCATTGATCTAGCTTTTCAACCTCTAAAACATGAAGTCATGAAACAGAAAGGGCAACTCAATCACTTGTCCAAGTGACAGAATGTGAAATATTTTAACACCAGCCACCAACAGCAGGATACAGGCTGGTTGTTTTAGGTTTGCTTGGAGTTTGTCTGCATTTCTGGGCCCAACACAAGTACTATTCTACTTTGAGGCTTAGGAAAGGTCTTGTGGCGCTTGCTTTTCCAGCTGCTCTAAGATGTGTGTTAAGAAGATGACAGCTGCAGTTTTCTTACAGCACTACTGCCTGTTGGCGTACGGAGTAGAGCTGCGGTAGTGCTGGAGGAAGCCAGACACCAGCCTGTGTGACAGGCTGGAGGTGAAATTTCTCAAGGATCAGAAGTACTTGCAAAGGCGCAGGGAAAGCTCACCTGGCATCTCAGGCGTACTGTTCCAACCCACTTTGCTGCTGTCCAGTCCAAGCCTGCACTCCTTCCACTGCCCTTCTTGCTGGACCATCTACCTCTTCCCGCATCTCTCTCTGCTCTGCTCCCCGCACCAGCCCGCGTTGCCCAGGGCATTCCTACCCAGCACACGAACACACCGTTCCCCTTGCTGTCAAGCATCTGTGTCACAGCACGGCTGCGTTACCAGGCTTCTCTTACTGTTTCACCCGTCTTCCTCACGTGCACGCACCCCTTTGAGAGCTGAACCACTTCTGTATGCAATATGAATGTTTCTCATATCACCTGCATTATTACAACTAATTTATAATTAATGACAAGAAGCCCTCCTGTCTTCGGGCAGAGGAAAAAAATAAGGAGGTCTGTTTTGGGTAAACACTGTCGAGTCAGAGGCTGAAGCAAAAAAATTAGTGAATGAATGACTGGCAAATATTCACCTGAAAGCGATGCAGAAAGTATCTCAGCATCTACATGCTGTGGGAAGAGTCAGGAAACCTTAAGGGGCAGAAATACAAAATAAGCTTTGCTTGAACTCTTGGTGTAACATTTCATGGAATTAATCCTGACATGTTATCCCAGAGAAATGGTCCTCAGACCAGTCACACTGCCTAATACAAGGCTGACAGTCATCTTTGCTGTTTCCTAGGGGTACATGCCTGGGGCTGCACGGGAGCCACAGCGGTGGTCTGTCCCACCTGAGGAGCTCCTTGGAAAGGAGCAATTCTTCAGCTAGTCCACTACCTCCCAGAGGGCCACTTTGCCTTTGGAGCAGCCCAGAGAAGAAACACCAGACAGGGATCCTGTGATTTTTAAACATAAAAAGAAAGAAGAAAAGAGGGAGAGAATTGCTGCTAATGAACATCTGTTGGAAGAAGACCTATAATGCAAAACTGCTAAAATAATATACTCCACTCCACCATGGCCCTGATTTTAGGAATAGGCAGAAAATCTTGGAATCTGCTTATTCTTGGATCAGCCAGCTGAGCTCCATTCACTCAGTCACTTTGCTATATGGGTTTATGGAAAAGTTGTTGTCAGTTGGGTAAAAGTTTATGTTAGCTAACTAGAATATCCTAAAATAGCTTTAATAAATTGTTTAAAAGCCCTAGAATAACTTAAACCCACTTTAGTAAATTGTTCAACAGCCTCTTAAGGTGTTCAAGTCTGGAAGAGGAAGAAACGGCTTAAAAACATCTTAAAAAGCCAGAAAAGGTTTTGAAAAAAAAAAGACCTATCCTCTGATAACAAATTCAAGACTTTTAGTCTAAGAGACTGCAAGGGGAAGAATTTTAACTTGGCTTTTCTCTTCTTGTCCTCTGTTTAGTAAAAAGAGGTGATTTGTAAAGGACCAGGTACCTGTCTTTAATCAAGGTGGATAACTGCCTGCTTAATGGTGTGAGAGAGGAAGAGAAATTACTTGCGTGATATAATGCTAGTGCTGCGAGTGCCTGCTGGACTCTTGTTTTGGCCGGAGAAAGAGAGCTAGTAATAGGGCAGAAGAAGAGGAAATCTTCTTGCTAGAGGAGATGAACCCATTAAAATGCCTTGTTTTTCTGGAGCTGCTTCCTGAAGAGATCAAGTTTCCCTTGCAAAGCTATGCTAAGGCATTAAAAACAGGACGTTGCATCCCGTGACCCCACACATGCATGTCACGTAACGGTGACAACTGACCCAGACGTGAACAGAAGCTCTTTGGTCAGTAACGGCAGTTACTTTTTCTGGCTTCAGTTAATTGAGAGCTACTTAAAAAAGAAAAGATTTTTCTTTGGCAGCTGTTGTCCTTGCACTAGGTGGGAAATGAAAGGTGCAAGGAGTAGAAAATCAGTTAAAGCTTCTAAACTGTGATCATTTGACATGTTAAGGCCATCCTGTTAGACAGACAATTAAAACGCACTGCTATTCCATCCAATTCATTATGAGACTACTGCAGCCCACATCCTATGACTTTACACTAGCAACGGTTGCCATGCAGGAGAGAGACTCGCCAGACACCGGCACTGAAGTCACAAGGCAGGAAACAAACAACTAACTTGAGCGTCACGCCTGTTTAACTCCACGTGCCTGGGACACGATGATTTCATTAAATGAATTGTCTCTGCTGTGTTATGGAGTTGCATATTTCAGAGGACATGAAGTAGTCAGAGCAGATAAAAACAGGAGACGCAGCCCAGAAGAAATAGTCCAACCGGAAAAAGTGGCCCGTTCCCTCTCAAAATGCCTACGCTCTCAAAAACCAAACCCTGAGAAACAATTGTCATTAGAAAGTGAAGTCATTAATCATCTCAGTATGTTCTATAATGGAAAAACTACTGAAAGTGTGGAAACCATTCCCTTTTCATTGTATGTTGGTGCCTCTGGGTAAATCTTTCTGGGTGCTATTTATAGTTTTGAATTTTATTAATTTGTATGGCAGAGCATTTGAGAAAGGAATCCAACTTTAAATAAACCCCGGGGTTTATAGAGGAACACATTTTGGTGAGCTAACAAGCACCCCTGCTGTAGTGGGAACACTGAATTACAAGAGGAAAGGGGCACCTGCAAGTGGGTGCCTACACTGTAACCCAAATATGTCACTTTCTTTTTCTTGTGCAAATTATTACACTCAACAGCAAAATCTGGTCTTGCATAGAAATTAAAAGGCTAACTCACGCTCTCTTCATCTTGACCTCAGTCCCCACCTCCATGTCCTGCTAGAACAGCATACGGCAAAAGCAAAGCAATCTACAGGATATTTCATTTTGCTAAGTAAGCATTTCGGGTTTGATTTATGCTTTCCTGTATAAGATTTCAGTGTCTATCCGCAGGTGTTTGCCTTCTGCCTCTCCCTCTGAGGCCCCAAACAGGCAAAGGATTTGATTCATCTTGCTCCTCTGTTACAGTTCCTCATTTTAGCCGCTCGTCTCTCTGGCTCTCGGCTTCCTATAGCGGCCCGAGGGCAGGGCTTCCCTGCCATTGCTGCTTCTGACTGCTAAGTGGTGCTAAAGGGTAAAGTTTAGATTAAGAGCACTACTCTTCGGGAAGAGAGTAAGAGCACCATTTCATTTTTTCAGTGCTTTCAGTCCCCACGAGACACAGGAGACTGCTAAATTTACCCCCAAAACCGGGTCTCCCAAGTGGTAGGGTAGACTGCCTCAGATACGAACTTTAATGCCACATTAAAACAGAGAACCTATATGTGGCTCTGCCTTGACAAATACTGGCAGTTCTTCTTATCTTTCTAGGGGCATAAATTGAACGACATGCAGACCTATGTTTCTACTTCTCGTTCAATGGAAGGTGGCTGTTATTTCAACAAGCTGCTTACAGCTAAGGACCAGTGGTGACTCTAGGCGAGACCTCAGAGCAGGAGATGGTGGCAGACAGAGCTCCAGGGATGCCGATTCCCGCACACATTTGAGAGCCTGGGTTCCCTCTCCTCTCCCTTAGGGAAGAGGGACTCATCACTTGTGTCTCCTTCCACTTTACGTGGTGGGAGGGTCAGGTTTCTGTCTGTCCCCTACCTAGCACGGACACCTCAATGTGAAGGCCAGCCCCACACATTCACTTCATTCGCTTAATCATATCACAATTTGAGATCAAGGTGAAAAAAACAAAAACTAAAATCCAGAACTGAGAAACAAAATATCAAAAAATGACATCATTCAATTACTTTCCTTTTCTACTGTAGCCATTCTCTAGAACCACTTGTCTCTCCTCATGTTTTGTCTTCATCACAGGGTTTCTTCCTGCACATAAAATTCCCTCTTATTCAGTAAATACAACTAATACTAAGTGTCTACTAGAGATGATGGCACATTGGCGACTAGTTTTCAGACACTTGGTGTCTGAAACTTGTCTCAAGAGGGAATACACTGATAAATGGAAGAGAAAGCGAACTTATACATAATCATAATGACATTTCAGTGTGACTTTTCTTCCCAAATTTGCTTAATTCTAGGATTTTCAGCTGGATTTTCCCAAATGTGCCCCATTCCTCCTAACCAGAAGGACACATCTACCTCACATTCTGGCAGAGATAACAAGCCGTGCTTGTGACATCTGTCAGCAAATATACTTATTACATTTCTGCAGGGCTTAAATTTCTGCTAAGAGAGGTGAGCTGCCAGAAAACTGAGTGATATATTCATCTACTGACCACTTGACACTGTCCCCTTGGATGGGCAGTCATTGGTTTTGGGTTTCATGTGATAAAACAGTGCTACTGTCCACAGAACCGAAACATGGCAGGGCTTGATTTTCTACTATGTTTATTTTAATCGTAGTGAAAAATGCAAATGCCGAGCTGTTGTCTTGAGAGCGGGATGGCTTTCACAGTGTTCAGATAACCCAGACCCCCTGTGCTACAGCAATTGCAGGAGAAGACAAGATTGCGAAAAATGCGTTCCCGCGCGGGCCCTGGCAGAGGCTGAGCTGTGTGCTGCACATCCCCGGGGTGTGTTACCACTGCTGGCTTCCCGCATGCCCCATACCTCTGGTACTCAAGGGCAGTCCCTGCTACCTGAAGCTCTCATTTTAGGCAAATGAGCCATGCAGTCTTGGGAAGGACTCTTTCTACCTGCTTCAGGGTAAGAGTCCTGCTCTCCTCTGCAATGACTGGCACTTACCTCTGTGACCAGACAGCATAAGCTCTTGCATTCAAGGCATATTCCAACTCGAAACGACTACGTAATGCTGCGACATGACTACGCCCAGGACCTCCTCGCGCAACAAGGCAGTCAGAAGATGAGGAGGGAGACAGAGAGCCACTGCTGTTGCTGGAAGCTGGAGACATTAACTGGATTAAAAAAAAAAAAAAAGACATTGTTATTACATATCTTCAAATCACTGTAATGTTTAGAGAGGGTTAAAGCTGCTAAGCATGGGTTATTTAGGACTGGAATTTTGCTGCTGTCCTGGAATTACTTTTCCCTCAGCTCTTTATCATTAATTTTTGTGTCCCATATTTCCTTTATAGTTTTGCTGAAAAAAAGCAGTGCCTCCTGACTTTGATCAGCTGAGGAGCAGGAGAATTGGATGCTGCCTGCCAAGAAAGTGGTCAATTCATCATCGCTTGGAGTCTTCAGATGAAGAGCAGATGACTTGCTAGAAGATACGCTTGTAGCACTCATGGTGCAGCTGGGAGATGTCGCTACCTCCCCAGGGAGCCACTGGGTGAGACTCTCTGTCTGTACTATAAGGTATCAGTGCTGCTTGATCAGAGTGGCCCTTGTCCGGGTGTCTCAAGGCAGTAATTCAGCCTGACGAGGCAATGTAACTGCAGGGCTAGCACATAAATATATGTACATACAAATATGCACCAACCATACAACATAGACACCTGCAGGAGCAGGGAGCTACACTTGCTGGCACAGAAAGTCCCTGCCACTCCAGCATCCACAGACATTTAAAAGGAGGAAAAATGATTTGCTGAATGAGAAGAAAGGAGAGGAAGTGGAGGGAGGTGGAGAGAAAAAACCTTGCAACCTTAGATTTCACTCTTCATTGGCTGCAGCACTTAACTCACTATGGATCTTGTTCCTTAAAACTCCTCCTTTCAAATAAGGCTTTGCCCTGGACACAGTGGAGCTGAAGACTAACTCCCCAGCTAAATTAAGCTCTCCTTTTTTTTCCGTTTGTAAGCTCTTGCCCTAGATTTCTTCCTGCATGCACTGCTGCTTATGTATCATAGAAGTTGGGTCCCCCATGAGACAGCACAGTTTCTTGTGATAAAGTGCTTCACATTTTTTTAAACTTAAAAGCCTCCACCTACACATAGAGCAGCCAGCTGCCGTCAGAGCATGAAGAAATGTAATAGATTATGGGTGTATTTTCCTACCCTTAAGCTCAAGAGCACTGATACATTTTAAAAGGAGAGAGGGATTTTTTTCACAACTCTTACATGCATACACACTCACAGCAAAATATAATTTCAGGAACTGCAGCCCTGAATCAAGCCGCAACAATTAAGGACAACAATTAAGGACAACAAGAACGCCTTCTTCAAATACATCAATAGCAAAAGGAAGACTAGGGAAAACGTGGGCCCGCTGCTGAATGGGGCGGGTGCCCTGGTGACGAAGGATACAGAGAAGGCAGAGTTATTGAATGCTGCCTTTGCTTCAGTCTTCACTGCTAAGGCAAGTTCTCAGGAATTCCAGACCTTGGAGACAAGAGAGGAAGGCTGGAGAAAGGAAGACTCCCCCTTGGTTGAGGAGGATCGGGTTAGAGATCTTTTGTCCAAACTGGACATCCATAAATCCATGGGCCCCGCTGGGATGCACCCACGAGTGCTGAGGGAGCTGGCGGATGTTATCGCTAGGCCACTCTCCATCCTCTTGGAAAGGTCCTGGAGATCAGGAGAGGCCCTGAGGACTGGAAGAAAGCCAGTGTCACACCAGTCTTCCAAAAGGGTAAGAAGGAGGAGCCAGGAAACTACAGGCCTGTCAGCCTCACCTCCATCCCTGGAAAGGTGATGGAACAGCTCCTCCTGAAGGTCATCACTAAGCATGTGGAGGACAAGAAGGTGATCAGGAGGAGTCAGCACGGATTCAGCCAAGGGAAATCATGCTTGACCAATCTGATAGCCTTCTATGGTGGAGTGACTGGCTGGGTAGATGAGGGGAGAGCAGTGGATGTTGTCTCCCTGGACTTGAGCAAGGCTTTTGACACTGTCTCCCATCACAGCCTCCGAGGTAAGCTCAGGAAGTGTGGGCTAGATGAGTGGACGGTGAGGTGGCTTGAGAACTGGCTGGATGGCCGAGCTCAGAGGGTTGTGGTGAATGGCGCAGAGTCAAGTTGGAGGCCTGTAGCTAGGGGTGTCCCCCAGGGGTCAGTCCCGGGCCCAGTCTTGTTCCATATATTCCTCAATGACCTGGAGGAAGGGACAGAGTGCACCCTCAGCAAGTTTGCTGATGATACTAAACTGGGGGGAGAGGCT